AAGACATATAGATGCAGAGCTTGGGGACATGATTTAGTGGTGGAATTGACAATGTTAGGTTAATGGTTGAACTCGATGATCTTGAAGGCCTCCTCCAACCTAGACGATTCCATGATTCTGTGATTCATGTGCTACTGTAGATAGTGAGAGCTGGTTTTGAATATGCAAATAACTGGCACACCCTCTGATGGCATCTCTAAGGTTATACAAGATATGATATTTATCTTATTTAGTAATCTTCCATATTGCTCTGAACTCACATATGCGGTTATACAACACGGTCCACCTCGGACTGGGATGTAATGTACAATGAAACAGCTAAAGGATAAAGCCTGAGAAAGAAGATGCCACCAAGCACTTCTGTTGTTGCCCATTAGTGTGAGATTTCCACGCAAAGCTCCACCTGTCTGTATGTGAAAGGACTGTCACATTTCTAGATAAGAATGTGAGGCCCTTTAAGGACCCTACAAAACTAAGATAGTAGATTTTATGACTAAGGAGCTCAAGACAAGTTCTGGTAATCTGTATAATGCAAAATATAGAATTTCATCCAGTCCTTCAGCCACAATTTTTTTTAATTTGTGTTTAATGGTTTACTATTATATTATTTTTTGTAGAGGGAGAAAAAATGACTTAAAAGCACTGAAACTGCCAGCATTTTAACAGTCCTTAGGAACGACCACGAAAGAATTCACAGGACAAATTTCCAACCAGAACAATGTAAGGTTATTATATGCACCCATTTCTGGAGTTGACTTTCAATCTCTCACATAACAATACAATGTTGCATTTTAGCAAATTTGCAACAGTATTTGCAAGACAGGAGCACAATGTGTTAGCGTAGCCAGTTCTCCACCAGCAGTCGTCACCTGGGAAGGGCTCTATCTAACCACAGGTGATAAAGTATTTCGACAAAATGTAACGATGAATACTAGAATTAAAAGCATATGGTTTCCAACATATTGTGTCTCATTTGAAGTGTAATACATCTAAGCTTGTGGTTACAGAGTACCAGGAATGTCTTATGGGAGGGTAGCCCTGAGCAAGCAGCAGGTTCTCCAGTTCACCAACAAGGAGCAAAACACAAATAATTTTTTTATTAGGTGAGGCTTTCATATTCCATCACCCTGTGCATCTTCTCTTCTGTCTACTGAAAAGCAAGGGCATGCCACACTTTCTTGTTCAGCCTTAACAAGGCCTTCTTTTTTATCACTTGTGTTCTTGTTTTGGTTTAAAAAAACAAAGGTGGCTGGGCTAAATATCTCTGACACATTCACCTTCCCCATTAATTGAGTTTGAACTGACTGACAGGTTCAAACCTGCTTTTGGGGAGAACTGACACCTGGACACACACAAGTTAGGAAAGCTTTCTGGTTTTATGAGTGAGCAGGAGTGATTTATCTCAGAGAGAAGAAGAAGGGCTTGAAAATTATACGTACCTTTTACCACTCCCACATTCACTCACCATCTGTGTGAATAATGGACCAGCCCTGCAGACAATTGTCAATGATATTCCCCAGACTCCCACTGTCTGCTGTTAACCCAGATCCGGGGAGACTGAGGTTCCTATTGTCTTTTATCCCTGCACCTGTGCCCTGGTTTTTACCTACTACTTTGTTATAAGAATAATTTAAATATTTTTAATGTCGTTTCTAGTTGACTATCCTGTATTCAAGTAATTGTTGTAATTATATGTAACTAAACAAGGTAAATATAGGTAGTTATAATTACAATGAGCAATTATGTAATTATACCAACCAATAGTGTTGTAACATCTGCATTTAAATTACCTTGACATGCTGATTCAATACACTATTTTCCATTGCTATCTAAAAGTATCCAATATGTCGATATGGCTGCCATCTGATGAGGTTCCATACAAAGGACTTCGGTGATTCTTATATTAAAGCAAATCAAATGCATTTTACTTTAAAACTAACAAGAGTCAGAATAACAGGAATGAAAACTGAAACCCAGTAAGGGCTGTTCACTGAAAATTTTTCTTATTTGCTAGATTATTATTTGAAAAATTCCTGAATGCTGATAGGCTTGCGTGAAATGTATCTTCTGATTTATTATCATTGGGTTGAGAAAAAAAATTGCATTATGGTTTAAAGCTTTGACTATCTCTCATCAACAAGTGCTTTTCAATAAAATCATGACAGTTCACCTGAGAGCTTGAGACTTATGGACTGCAACAAGTTAATAAAGTCTAATGTATGTACATTACACACAGTACATTCTGGGGTACTATTTTGATTACTGAGTGTTCTGTTTCTGCCTAAGTCTCTCCCACCCATCTCCTCCTCTTTCCCAATAAATACAAAATAGCAGATCAGGTTAACAAAATATACTCACTTAAGACTTACTCTTATTGTAATATTATTCCCACTCATTACTTATTTGATAACAATTATTAGGTTTTATTTTACATTCTGACTTTGTTGAATCTGCCATTCAAATCAAGCAAATAAACGTAACAACTCTAATAAAGTACTCTTGCTACTCCTGGATATTTCTTACCAATTCAATGTAATACATTATATTTCACAAGACGCAGATGTAAAATTTAATTGCTAGAGCTATCGTACAAGTAATCTGGAGATCTAAAAAATGAACATGTGGCAATACTGATGAAGTATTTTAAACCAGAAATAATTAATAAACATTAGCAATGACACTTAATTATCAAAAAATACAGATGATTCCCTTTTAAGTGTGGGCAAGCATAGACGGTGTTTTGGTCTTGGAAGGTCTTTACCTTAAGCAACAAGACCAAAAGCCTATTCCAGTCACCCAAGTCTGTGAATGCTCCATTTCACATCTGAGTGTGAAAAGCTGTGTATGGACACATGATTAAAATTAGAAAAGTGCTTAACAAAATTTATCTTCAGGAAAAGAACTTAACCATGCAGGTGTAAGTCAGGTTGGTCTACATAAGTGGTCCTTGAAAACCCACCTGTAACCAGGCAGCAGCAGCGGCCTGCCGTAACAAGCATCATGCGTGACAGCTACATGTACAAGGATGCTGTGCACTAAATGTTTATGTACAGAGCAGCTCTTCCACATGACAAATTTGATCCCAGGTAGGATGAGAAGGATATTCATGCATTTAGGAATATGTGATTGAAAAAAAAGACAGAGGGAAATACACATTTGTGAGGAAACATCCTGAGCAGTTTAGTTGATATACAACTTTGATACATGACACTTACCTTTCTGGGTTATTAAGAGATTTCAGCCTCATCTGGAGAATCCTAAGCTTGTGTTTTGGGCCTATTAAAGTCTTCGTGGAAAAGGTCATGGAAATTTTTGATATTTCATCAAGGTCTCGGTAAAATCCAGTTAGTATTTTGACTCTTTTATATTGCTGAAATGTTGAAGCTTCACTAAAGAAAAATATTATTTCTAGTCAGGGTTTTGTTAGCTGAGTAATATTCATCATTGCTAAGCATTATTATTAAGATCAGAAATCTTGTAAGACATATTGACTTTGTGTGTTCAGAACAAGGATACCTAGAACTGAATGCAAACCAGTACCATGCAAGGACCTGGGCTAGTCATAAATGGAGAGAGGATCACTTCAGTCTGAGGAGCGCTGTCTCTAACACTGAGCTGCACACAGGAAACAGAGCCGTGGCCAAGCCTGAACAACCTCACGATACTTTTTTGACTTACAAGTTAGAAGATTTAGGAAACTCAGACAATTAGTCCTATAAGGTGATAAAAAAAATTTAGAGACAAAGCACAACATACCCATTCATCTCTGATTCTACTGTGGTTCCAGTACTATCTGTTATTTTAACTTTAATGAAACCTCTCCTAATGCTTTTATTCCAGGTAGTAATATCCAGTACGTAGTTATACACTGCAAAAATAAATGGGAAATAATAAGATTCAAAGAATGACCTCAACAGGATACAGTTGTTATTATCTCCCTGTTAAAAGTATTCACTGGTTGATGATAGGAACAGTGACTCTTTGCTTCTAAGTTACCAGCTCAAAGCAGAATAAGAAGGCAATTGACAAAAAAAATAGCTTCTACCAAATGGCTACTTGGAGTTCTGTGTAACTAGCAAATCATTTCCTCCAGACCTTACATGGAAAGGATTTGGATCTGAAAGCCACCATCCGAATCGGCATGAAGAGTTTGACCTGCCCAAGGAAAAAGAAACTCAAAATCAAACCCTAAGCAGCACCTTCAGGTTTTGGCAAGCTCTGCAAAAAGGGATATTAGAGCTATTTGTGTAGCAACACTATCACATTACCCACAGAAGTGACATGTCCAGAAAACAGCTGAGGTATATTGGCAGGGAGAGGGGAGGAACAGCATTGGCACAAGCTTTATGTATAGGCAAAGTGGGCAATTAGTTAGGTGAGCTGATGATAAGGTGGTAAAAGCTGCAGAGAGACATTATTCCCATGCCTTGCTTGCCCAGCCTGAGCAGGTGCACCAGTGCAGGTCCTCCAAGCACCCTTCGCTCAGAGAAGTCAACCTGCCAAAACCTCTGTGTGGATGCTAGAAATACTGCATGGTGGAGACTGAGTAAGATGAGAGGGGTCTGATTGCTTTCCCATGCTCCAGCCCCTTCTCCCCCTCCCCTGGAGGGCCCACAGCCTCAGGAGAACAGGCTGGTTACCTAGGCTGGCACCCGACGTGCGCTAGCACCGAGCTGACCTGCTCTGCTGCGCCCTCAAAAACCCTGACCTGGCCTTCCACCGCACTTCTGTAGCCATCACCGATATTGTAACCCTGCTATGGCTACACAGCGGAAACACAACTTTACTACTCCCAAAGTCGGGAAGCCAATTCAAACTTTTTTTTTTTTTTTGAATGTTGCTTTTTAACATTCTCTTCTAAAAGACGAAGCCTCACCTCACATGAAAAACTTGTCCTGCGCAGTTTTACAGTTTCACTTAGTTCTAAGTCCTCTTGTTTATTTCCATTTCCTCATGTTTTCAAATATCTAAGAATTAAAATAAGGCTTTAGTTAAGAAGTAACCTATTTTTCAGACTGGTTTAGTACACTCATTTTGCTTCTTGACTTTGCGTGTTTTCCCTTAAATTTATGCTGTCATTACAATGTTTCTTACTGCTCTCCATACACCTCCTCCTCTGTTTGGAAATATTTCTCCCCCTCTTTTCTCTCTTCTACCACCTCTGTCCCAGAATACTATACAAAATCTTTTCCTTCTGCAATGTACTCTTTCCATCATCAGGATTCTGCCTGGTTGGATTTTCTATGAATGCCCAGATTTTAATATGTGTGAGAGTGAAAGAAAAGCCATATTTTACTAATGGAAGAGTGAATGAGGAGTCAGACCTAGTGGCCTATGCAGCCTTGAGAGCATGGGGGAGCAAAGCCAAAGCAGACAGGAGCAGGGGAGAACAGTGGAAGCAGGTTTGCATTGAGCTGAAAGACCACTGAGAATAGGAGTTATTGTATGTAAAATCCATCACATCTTTGCTAACCTCTCCTTGGCCTTTTGGAAGAAACAGTGATGTAAGTAAGCATGATTACCACTGTAAAAAGAGATATTCAGTCCCTGGTCATAAAATTTGCCAAGATGATGGAAAAAACTAGTGGGAAAACTCAGTTTCACTTGAATTGCCTGTAAGCTTATCCCCATACCCCAAATCAAAGAACCTTAAACATAAACAATTAGAAGAGTGTACCAACATTTGCTTATGGTGGTAAAGTCTGTCAATAAAAACAGATATTGGATAAGAATCTAAACTGGACCTCTGCATGGACAGGTAGATATCTAAACTCTTGCAGCTAAAGGTTATGCCAAGAGAATACATTTCCACAGAGTATAACCCTGAAACAGTCAGCTAAGTTTTCCCTCCACTGTTTTACTTCTAGGGAGACATGGACTTTTAAAAGCTGGAGTAGCTTTAGTTGACTGTGGGGTGCTCTCCTCCTGGGTTGGAACATAGAAGTGTCTCATTTTTGTCCTGCTCAGCAGGGGGGAAGCAATCGTGCTTCCCATTTTTGCTCTCTGAAAATGGCAGCAATGATCCCATCTAAGCAGGTTCTCTCATTCCAGCTTTTTCCCTGTCACTTGATTCTCATTTTCTGGCTTCCTTCTTCCTCTTGGCAGTCCAGCCCATTACGTTCAAAGTCACATTTCTTTCTCAGTTCCCATACTGCTTACTCTTCTGCCACAATCCTTCCTCCTCCAGCCTGTGAACTGACACTTAGATCACGGTTTAATTACACCATTTTAGACAGAGGCTAACAATAACTTTCTACTTTTAACATGCTTTCACTCCAGATCAGCTAACAAATAACAGCCACAATATTTCACAAAGAGTTTGATGTATATGTATTCAGTCACTCACTGCAGAATGGCTCTCGGTCCGAGGTATCAAAATAAGCTTTCGTTGATGAACTCTTTGGGATTAAAAGTTTTTTCCATCTATCAGCATAATAACCTGAAATCCAAAGTTTAAATATTTCATTTCAGACATTGACCAAAGGCATGATACACATATAATTACACAAAAGAAACTCATCCAAAGTGGCAGACTTGGCTTTGATTTCCTTAATTATTCTCTGAGAAAGTAAATGGACTTGGAAAATGCAGGAATCCCCTGAGTCTATCAGAATGTAGTATGCAAGTATTTCACTCTTCGAATTTATTAATATCACTAAAATTGTCATGATGTAGTAGTTGGAATCTATTTAGTCTAGAGTACTAACTCCAGAAAATTAGTGCTTATAAACTCCTGCAGAGGTAATAAAAACAAACCCATAAAAGTAGCCTGCATATTCACAGAGAACATTTGCAGAACAGCTTCACCTTCGATAACATTTCTTCCATTCTTTTTTGAACCATTATTTTTTAAACCCTTTAGTCTATAACTGTGGATATTATTTAATAGAATGTTAGATATTAAACCTCCTAAGCTTATGGATGTAATGTAGAAATAACTTCTAGTTTATACAATTCTATGCTCATTGTCTTTGGGCTAGATAACAGTCCTCGTTTCTACAACAGCTGATCATATTCCCTCTCTTGATTTCTTTACCTAGACTGGACAACGAGGGCTAGTTCCAGGCTGCAGAGCTGCCACTGCAAGGCAGCAAGCAGGAAAGCTCAAAGGAGAAGGACGCTGCTTCTCCTCAATTCCCAGATTCAGCTGCCTGCCATTTCCTCATAGGTTTTATGGTTATTAAAAAAAAAAAAAAAAAGGGGGCAGCTGAATGGTCAAATATTTCTCCATCTCTGTCTCAGGCATTCTGTGTAAGCACATCAGGCATGTCTAATAGCCATGCTGGGGAAGTCCTGGAGTCTTTCTGCCCTACTATAAGTCCCTCTATGGTTGGGTTTTATTATAAAAATAGCATACAGATTTGCTTATCTATGGTTTTTCTTCAAACTTGACCTATATGTACATCCTAATATAGCAATGTAAAAAAGACCAGGTACAAATTGAAAGTTAACTTCTCATTAAATATTTTTAAAGTTTCATTCTTAAGAAAACCCTGCCAACTAGGAAATGCTTACACTAGTGTAGGTCTTTTCAAACTGTCCCCAGATCCTCTCTGCAAGCAATAAACCCTCAAACAGCTAAAAACCCCTCCAAATAAAAGCTTGATTCCAAAAGAAGAGATAGAGAAACCATGAAGTTACTATAAACGTTATTATTCTTAAATAAAAACCACAGGTACTCTAGAGATGATAGCACACTGTGAAAGCCTAAAGTGACAAACTAAGTAGAAGCAGTTTCTCTGTAGAAAGGAAATACTCTGTGAATCCATTTCATAGAAAAAAATGCATTTTGGAAATGCATTATGCATTATGCATTATGGAAAGCATAATGATCAAAGATAAGGCACATTCAGCATCTGTGTCTGAGAGAGGTAACTATTACGCAGACAAAGCCACAAAATTTAAACTACTTTAAACTGTATGCAGCTCTGCACACAGTCAGTCTCTACAGATCCCTTAGCATGATGCTACAGATCTCTGGAGTAGCCCCAGAAAGAGCTAGTCTGGATTTCCCAGAAAATCTCACTCAGCTCAGAGCAGATTTTGTAATGCTTACCCAGTACTGGACAGGACATTGGCTGGAAAGCTTCACAATCAACACATTTTCCTCTCTTGAAATCCAAGTAAGAGTCACAAGGATATGTTATTATGTTGCACACTCTTTTCAAAGATGATAAGAAGAGGAAGACAGATCTTTGATGGTCACATTTAAAATACTGAAATCCTTCAGGAAAGAAAAAGTGAAATATACAAAGAATATGTAATCATTTTTCTTCATGAAAGAAAAGGTGTTATCAAAGTAATCCCATTTACCTGAGTCATTCTTAGTTAGCCATGCTTTTATCCTCTGGTTAGTCAACAACCAAAAGTAAAAAACAGATGCACACATACAAGAAGAAATTGAAGACTATTTTGAATATTTCAGGTACAGAGAAAAGGTTACAGGTTTTATATGTAAGATATAATCTAGTAAGTCTTATCAAATTTACAGAATTTTTTGCTATAAAGCATGAGTATGTGTTAAAAATTGCCTTGTTGCGTCCAGTGCAGAACGTTTCGGCAGAAAAATATACCGTGAGGAATGCTTCAGAGATTCTTCTCTCTAGTTTTTTGGGGTAACAAATTCCTTCCTCTCCTAGCAAAATAAACTATGAGAATTGTACAGATGAAGATGATCCTGAGTCTTAAGGGATTCTCCTGTACTCACAGACACACGAGTGGAAGCCCTATGCTTTTGCAGCAGCTCTAATTCGTAGCAGCAGTGTGCAGATAAGTAACAGAAACATAGACAGACATACACACATCCAAAAGAGTAAACAAAAACTACAGGAAACCACCTTGTCTAAGATTTGTAGAGGTTGAAATAAGGAAAATTTTGCAGCAAAACATCACGTTGTAAAACTGTTTTCATCCTAGAGTCTAAAAGACCTGACCAAAACCTAGTTCATCATTGCCAGACAGAAGGAACCTAAGACACGGTGAAGACTTGAAAGCCTTGCCTTCCATGTCATCTGTAAGTGATCCTGTCCAAACCACTTGGACACAAACAACTTTCCCCAGGCCCAGCCGTATATAATAATAATAATAATGATGACTGTATGCAGATAGTATATATAATAATTCCATCATACCAATAATAATGATATGGTGGAATGTGTATGCTCATAGGAAGATCTTTATTAAAAAAAAAAGACATCAAATGTGTTTTTTATTTCTCATTTGCTGAGTGGGGATGGAAAAGAAAGAATATAATGTGCTCAGCTCCCATGTTACTGAATATGTGCAGTGTCCACTGAATTCAGTTTAAACTTTTTTGATTTGATCTCTACCTGTTTTCTCATTAATTGGATACATTTTTATTTACCGCTGAATACTGTTTGTGGACAACCAGGCTGATCCATTCCTCCATTAGGATAGAAATCAATGGTTCCTAAAGGTTGCTTGAAACCTAGTGCTAAAGTAAAAAAATTAATCAAAAAAACATAAATAAAATTATGCGGTCATTCATTTATCATTACATTAATTACTAAATAACATGTAGGTCTTCAAGAAAATTTTTGCAATTACACTGTTCTTTTGTTCTATAAATGAAAGTCGTATTATGAGTTAAGATCCGTGGATGTTTTCAAGAAAATCATACACCTGTAAAATGCTGTACACAAACGTATACGTATTTGTGTAAGGCTCCTAAAGCCACAAAAGAAAAAGGAAAGAACAGAAGCAACTATTCAATGCTGTAGCTGAGACCTTCTTTGCGCAAAGAAATCTATGAAATTCATGTTCTCTCCAGCAACCCAAATTCTTTCCCACTGTAATTTTCATTAGAGAAGATTTTCCATTTCTCACATGACATTGGATTCTGAGCTACATAATTGGAACATTACAAAAACTGGTATTTTACAGCTTCACATATGAATTTGTATAGTAAAATGCTTAATTTTTAATATTATTAAAGAAACTGACATGAAACTACACAAATAATGGGACAAGTGTGGTAGGCTTCAAAGGTTTACTTATGGTTTTGAGAAGAAAATGAAACCAGAATATAGCATGGATGAAGCAGACTTTACAATGTTCTTAATTTTAAGCTTACAGTAACATGATTTAGAATTTGAAGTGGTGGATCTGTAGTGTCCTAACACAAACCAGCTGAGACTGCCTGTCTCAGAAGGGACTAATTCCGTGATAATCACGTGCTTACAACCTCTTTAAACACTAGCACAGTAAAACAATGTTAATGCTAGACTATTTTGGAAATAGTAGTATCATAAATTAAGGCAATAGGCACGCTTTCTTCAACGTGCAGACCTGGGGTTTTTTTTTTATTCAGAAGGAATATACTATAACAAACAAGACATAAATGACTGTGGTGTAATCGCTACTTTTGCATGACATTAAATGGACTCATGACTATATGGTTAGCTACATATGCCTTCAGTTAGCTATTGGACATAAAAGTTATTTCAATATTTTCAGGTTTAGTCATGAAACTTCACTCTCTCAATAACATGGCTACTCATGTCAGAAGTGAACAAAGCAGCCCATCATTGCCTAAGTCATTAGCAAAGTGGAGTTTCAATTTCTTGATGAACAGTCATAATAACATACAGTATGATTTCAAAAGTATAGGCATTGTTAGAAAGCAACAGCACAGGAATCCACCTGATAACACAAAATACACTTCTGATGTTACTGAAACAGCTTATCCCTTCTCTTTTGCCTTTCCTGCCTTTCCTCAAGCTAAAATAGTAAAGTTAAGACTATGTAATTACCATCAGTATCTGAATGGATTACATCAACAAATTGTGCATCAGTACGATCCAGTCTCCCCTCTGGTGGTTCTCGAGTAAATGAAGGGCCTGCTGGATCAAGACCTAAATGAAAATAACACTAGCATTACAAATCCTGGGGTCTGTTTCTATAGATAAATACAAGACCAACATTTGAGTATTATTCATTAATGACACTTCATTTTCCTGGCATAATAATAAAAATGAAACCCAGTACGTTTCTTCTCAAGTTTCCGTTCTTCAACTTGCTAAGCAAAGTAAGGGTTCCTACCACAAGACTAATCAACCCTTATCTTTTAATTTCTCTCTCTCCCTAATTAGCTGTGCTCATCTCCTAGTTCTCCAGGTGAATTACAAGCCAACAGCATTAGGGATCAAATCAGGAGAATTAATTTTGTCATTTTCCCCAGAAAATACCATACCTATCATGTACTGCATAAAAATGAAATGTACCTTATAACCACTCTCACCACCAGAACACAAGATGAAGACACTTTACATAGAGACAATTTCAAACATGCCTCAATCATTTTGTCAGTTGATGTTGAAATTACTTATAGAAAAACAATTGTTATGTACAACTAAGAGAAATACTAGTTTTCAACCACATTTTCATCTGAAGGAGGTTTGGAAATCTTATACTCAAATCAAAACTCAGCTATGACAAAGAGATTCCAACTGAGATCCACAAAAAGCACTTTATATCAAGGAGGAGGTGATTTGGGTGGCAAAGTATGTGAAGTATAAACACTGCATATTCTCATTCATTTTAGGGACAGGGAATCACGTTGTGCAGCACTGAAGCCTGATAATTTTTCAGGATGGTATTTTCTGTCATTCACAGAAAAGTGAACTTGTTAGCTGAGGTTTGCTCTGCTCCTATTTTCTTGACAACAAAAGCACAGACAAAGAGGGGAATTGAAAAAGCAGCAAGGATGGAAAATACAACTGTCAAGGCAAAACGTGTTCCTACACTTAACTGACTTCTAATTGCATTGTCATTGATTGACAGAGATGTAGCATGATCTTAGCTTATTCAAATTTGTATTATGATTTAACTGGTAGATGTTGTTTAAGAACTAGTCTAGAAAGGTTCTCTCTCAAGATCAAGATAACCAAGACCCAAACTACCCCAGGGGATCATGGAATGCCAGCAATCCACAATTCATAGTACTTCAGGTAACAAAGATTACCATTTTAGTCCACTAATTAGTTTTATATTTCAGAAACCTCCAAACAGCGAAGAAAAAAATACTTTTTTTTTTGTTTAATCTCATTTTTCCAACATCGGTTTGGGCCATCGGCTCAACTTGTTTGAAGGAAAGAGTATCAAAACAGTCACTTGAGAGGTTATGAGCCTTGTGTGTCTGGACCACTCAATCTTTGCCTTTATTCATCCATATCTTTAATTATAAGAAGGTGATTGAAAAATTATATAGTTTTGTTTACTTTCAAGCATCTGAGCTCAGAAATGACCTGGATCTCCTAGCTCTCAATTGTACAGAGAGGACACAGACCTGCTAGTCTAGCATTGCAATCAAGACTGTCCCCAACCAGTGACACCACCAGACTCTAAGGAATTGTGTAAAGTGGAAATGAGTATCTTTAACCAAAGGAATATAGCTGGAGCCTATCACACTCTCAGAAAATGTCCTGACTTTCAGATTACTGTACTAAAAAGTGAGGAGCATCTAATTCCCTTTCTCAAGGCTGGCTACTGTCTCCTCTTACATTTGGGGAAAAAAATTACCTCAGTACTCTGCAGAGAGTGTTTGGAGCTAAGAATCTCAAGGAGAGGTAACTGCCTCCTTTCAGCCTGAAATCAGCTGCTCTCTTAAGTCCAAAACACTATCAGGATCCAACAGACCCTTCTCCCCTTAGCACCTTAGCTTAGTGAGCTTCCTTCTCAACACACTAGCTGCGGCGAGTTTTGCTCTTTCACCACAAGAAGCATCCGGAGCCTGTGCACCCAAATTAGCACTGCGGATTCTGCCCTAGGAACCAGCATCTCGGAGTTAATCCTAAACTTTGTGCAACCCTGGTCCTGAAAGGCACACCCACATGAGGGCACGCCAGTTTTCACTGTATGCACCACTTCCTGCAGATGACAATGCTGACAATGTAACAGGCAAGAGGTAAGATTTGCAGTATCCATACCCAGGCTGGACACCTGATTTAAGCTCAGCGTAGCAGATAGCTCAACATACTAAAGCCTGCACCGTCTTCAAATACTTCAAACAGAAACTAAATCCTTGTGCCTGAACCCTGTGGTCTGATCAAGAGCTTTTGAACTTCCCTGCAGAGCGACCCGACTGTCTCCATCAACTAGACAGTCACTCAGGTAGTATGTCCTTTAACTTCAGTGGCGTTTGGATGTAGCACTGAATTTTCATTTGAGAGACTGGAGGTAAATAGGCTGGAAAATTTCAGCTGTAACTTACGTCCTGAAGGCAGAATTTCACAGTTTTCTGAACTTCTATCAGGGATACATTTTTCCTTGTGTATGTTACTAAAAAATCAGTTGTCATTTGGCGATGCTTCAGTGCTAGCATCTATGGGATTCGCAGCTGTGACAACAATACAAGGTACATTAGAACACGCGTATCACGATCAAAAGACTTACCTGTAATTCTGCCAATTTTCCCATGATACTTCTTGCCAACAAAACCAGCTATATGAGCCCCAAGACTAACACCAATCAGATACATAGTGTCAAGAGAAGCTCCATCTACCTATCGGGGAAAAAAAAAATAAACAATCCACAACTACACATGTGGTTAACTGAACAGACATCAGTAGACTGATTTAGTTTTCACTTTTTGTCAGTACTAGAAGTTATATTTTTAAGTCTCTAACTTTAAAAACATATGGGAATTACAAAGTTATTTTCAGTATGACATTCTGTACTAGTTAAACAGGGTAGTAATTATAAAATTCTTTGACTAGAAAAATGTAAAAAGGAAGCTTGAGTCACACTTCTCCCGAACTGCCACATTAGTTAGAAGGGGAGCACAGGGAGGGAAGAGGAAGACATTTACCAGATACAAGAAAAAAGAACCAAAACTATGAAATAGGAAAAAACCCACAATCTATCTCCTCCCACCTTATCCTTCCAATAAAATTAAAACATAATACCATTGACCCCTTAATACCTTATGCCACAGATGTGCTGAATAATGGTGCCAAATGCACACCCGCAGGAAAAACTTTAGATGTCCATTCTACAAAGCAGGCAGTATTTAAAAAAAAACCAAAACAACAACCTACTGAAGAACTCAGAAACAGCATCAGCAGACCAGTTAGAATCTCTGCAAAGTGATGGGATAATATGTGGGATCTGAAATACTAATACATCTCAAAATGAATTAACAAAGGCCTCATGACAGCTTGCAAGTATGAAACTGGTAGCTGTGGGACACAACACGCCCCACCACCATCACTCTGATGACTCACACAACAAGATCCGCCCAGCCATGCCCTGTGGTCATTGCTTTGCCAGGTAGATCTCTAACCAGCAATTAACCAAAAGTCTGCATCACAATATTTGCAAAATATACCTTTTAAACCCACTCTGGATTGGAGACCGTTCTTACAGTCCTATTTTATTTTTCAGTTCCATAACAATAAATTTACTGTCATAATTACGAATTGTTGTCATTATATCTAGTCCCAGAGGGCAGATTCTGATACAGTCTCTTTTCTTTCACCTCATCCTTTCTCAAAATGCCAGTTTTTTTTACTGAAATTCCACATGAACATTTTCTTACTGCAAAGCATTCAAAATTTCTTAGAATGGCTGGGAAAAATAAGAGGTGAGAATAGAAGGAAAATCAAGTGATAAATCTAACAATGCCATACATGAGATGATAACGTGTTTTGTTCATTTGACTAGGTAATAAATCTAAAGCCAAGCTAGACCACTGGCATCAACAATTGTTTCAGCAACTCTCTCTAGAACAAAGAAGTTTATATCATTTTGGAACAAATATTTGTATCTCTGTCAGTGATTTGTTTTCCATCTAAAATCTTTAATTACATTAGTTTAGTAGTGAAAAGAGTAGTGCAATGTTTTTGTAACATTTTAATGCTGCATACTATTTGAACACCTCTCATTTCACCTTCCCACA